ATGTTTAGGAAATTTCTTCCTGATAATTTTGGATTACTCTAGATATATTTTGAATTGTTTATTGATCTTAATTTTTAGTTTTATCTAACAGCATCATATCTTTGCTTTCCTGTTCTTTTTGTTGGGTTTATTTTCTGTGTTTGGAAAGATGCTTTGGCCTTTAGCCTTCAGTAAGCTTTGTCATTTTATACATGAATAATCTGATCTCAATATGGTATTATAGAATAAAAACTTTACTGTTTCTGAGTCAGAGATGACCTTATGAATAGGCACTATAAATAATTTTACGGTGTTATTTCAGTACTTGGATAGCACAGAGGAGAGAGAATTTTGAGAGCATCTCTGAAAAAGAAAAAGGACACAAAAGGGGATTGTGAAGACTAATTTCATAGGCTTTGTAACTTGCCAGCTGTATTTTATTTATGCAGAGGATTTGGACATAATTTTAATTGCGTTTTCATTTTCGATGGTAGCATTAGTGTATTGGATTCAAATTCTTTCATAGAGTAAACAAATTTCATTTGTTGTCTTCTATAAAAACAGGAAAATATTAAGTAAAATTAGGATTTCATGGCTTTTTCAATGCAGAAATTACTTCCATATTGAATTATTTAAATAAACCTTCTTAGTGAATGACCATGGAAAGAGAAAATGGAAAAAGGATATCCTTTTAGGAAGGTCCCTTGAAAGGCCTCAAACTATAATTAAATTTTTTTAATTCCTTTTTATTTAAAAAGGAATACTAGGATGACTTTAAGAAAGAGAACTGACTTTCAAGAGAAAAATTACTAAGTTTCCTTGGGTTGACAGCCACATGTAACTTGAATTTAGCATTTGCAGTTTTCTCTGTCTGAATTGTACTATAAGCATGGATCAGAAAGTATGGGTGACCTTAGGTGGCAGTCTCAGGGAAAGCATCAATTCTGTGAGATGGGAGACATCTTGAAAAGGGAAAGGTTCCTCTTAGAATGTAAGTGCTGAAGGGAAAGAAGAAAACAACTGAAGATAAGGGCTTTATGGAAACTAGTATTTAAACAATACAAATTCTGTTCCACTGCCACCACACAAAATAGTACCATTTATTAAAGATACTACACTTCAGCACAGCCACAGAAGAGGGTGCTGTTGAACTGAGAAACCAAATAAGCCAGCTTCTCTCCTTTTTTCCCCATCTCAAGATAAATTGCCATTACTAATCCTGAAAGAGCCAATGTATATAATCCTCAATAGGAAAAGAAACCAGCATCTATATGAAGTTATTATAAGAATAAAATAGGAAATTAAGATCAAGTCTAGTTTGTAAGTTATATGTATACACAGACACAAAAAATGAAAACAAAAATAAAAATGTCAAAGAAAAACTACAAAACAAAGGAAAACTGAAATGCAATACTTGAACATGAATAACCCGTATTAAATAAGCGATTGCAATATAAAAGGGCACTATGAATCAGATATTTTAAAAAATCACAGCTGAAATAGACAAACAACAGGAGAGTACGTGAAACAGGAGCTGACTCAACTCTTCAAATTGACAAAAATCATCTTAGAAGTGAAAACTAAATTACAAGATACCCAAGGGAAGATAGATATTACCCAAAGTTCAGTAAAGGACAAAGAGAATAGAAATGAAATAGTCAAGAAAGTGACACTGAAATAAGAGAGATAAAAAGGATTAGAGATAAAATGATAGAGAAGCTCTATTATATTTAGTTCCATGCTTGAACTATAAAAACAAATGAAAAATAAACAGTAGTAGTACTTAAAAATCTAATAAAAAACTTTTTAGAAGTAGAATACTGAAATTCTATATTGAAAGGATGCCTGTCTCCTGTGCATCTGGGAGAATTGATTTAGAATAAACCGACTCAAAATATCTTAATATTAGACCTAAAATAAAAAGGGAGAAAAAGTCCATCTGAGCCTACAAGTAAAAAAATAGCAAGTAACATAAAAACGGTAAAAATTAAAAACACATTAAAAGTTAAAATAAATGGAAAGAATATCAAGCTGGCATTATACCTCTTGACCACAACACATAAAGCAAGAAAACAACAGACCAACATTTTCAAGACATTCAAAATGAACAGTCATTTTAGTTGATTGTGAAGCATTAAGTAAAAAAAGTCATGTGTTCATAGTGATACTCAAGATCACAAATGAATTGCATATGAGTGATTTTGGAAAAAAGATGCAGTTAGGAAGAAAATTTTCAAACGTATCCTTTGTTGTTCAGTATTTGAAATATTTAGATGTGAACTGTCATGATATCTGCAACTTACTTTCAAGAGACTTAGCAAAAAAAATACACACACACACACACACACACACACATGTCTAACAGTTTTTTGACATTTAAAACAAATTGCCAAATTTCAAATACTTTCGTGTAACTAAAGAACTATCTTTTATAGTGAAAGGAAATATTTTGTGAGTAAAACGTATTCATCTTTTATGTTGTTATTTTAGATTTTTGCAGTAGTCAATGAAGAGTGACTTTTTCATATTTCTCTGTATTTTTAGAATTATTTTTAGTGATCTAATACCTCTTTCAGCAGTTACTGAAACTGCTGGTGCTTTCTCAGGAGTTAGGATAGTGGCATCAAACTGAGTTGTCACTGTATTCTTGCCACTCAAGATCACAGTAAAAAAGAAAGCAACAAAAAACAATGTCAGTTTTACTTAAGAATTCGGTTGAGGAAGGAAAAATTTTAATGAATGATTTATCTTTTTATTCCTGAATTATAGTATTTACATATTTTTGATAAATGTCTTTTCAGATAGATAATTTGCAAAAAAATTTCTCCCACTTTATAGGTGTTTTCACTTTCTTGATTGTGTTCTTGAAACACAAAGTTTTTTGAATTTGATGGTGTCCAATTAATTTTTTTCTTTTTTTGCCTTCATTTGTTTTTTGTACACGGATAGACTTTTGAAATGTACATTGTGGAATGTTTTAGAGCAATGTTTTGGTTTGTTTTTGGTTTTGTTTTCGTTTGTGAGTGACTATATATCTGTGATAAAACATACTATATGGATTTGCTAGGATGGCCATAATAAAGTATCACAAACTGGGTGGTGTAAACAACAAAAGTGTTTCCTGAAGTCTGGAAGCTAGATGTGTCTGCAGGATTGATTTCTTCTAGGGTCTCTCTTCTTTGCTTGATGGCTGTTTTCCTTTCTGCTGTCTTTACATGGCCTTTATTCTCTCGGTGTGTCCTAATTTTTTCTTATAAGGACACTTTGTGATATTTGACTAGGACTAACCCCAAAGACCCCATTTAACCTTAATTATCTCTTTGAAGACACAGTCTATGAATGTAGTTATATCCTGAGTTACTGGAGGTAAGTGCTTTAAAATATGCTTCTGGAATACGGGAAGAGGGACGTAATTCAACTTGTAATAGATAAATAACATAAAATTTAATTTGTTTAGTTTATTTTTACCATTTGAAGTACACAGTCCACAGGTATTAAGTATACTTACATTATCATGTATTGTCACTATCCATCTCTACAATTTTTTTCATATTGCAAACTAAAAGTCTAATTATGAAACAATAACTGCCCATTGGCCCTTCCTCCTAGCCCCTGACAACTTTCTTTCTACCTTCTTCTTCTGTAAAACATAATGTTTTGAGACAGTTTATTTTTCATAATTTGTAAGAATTTTCAAAGTTTCTCGAAATTGTTACGTTTTTATGCTAATCCTAAGATATACACAAACTTTCACCTAGATAAAATACACTTGAATTTCTTTAATCCTGTCTAAAACTTTGTCTTTATTTGTATATCTGCCCTTTTTCTTGGGAGAGATGCCAAAGTTACCAGATTCCTTTACTGTAGCCATTGAAATTTGGGGCCAGTCTATATTTTTCAAGAAAACTCAAAGTTTTAAGTTTTTAAATTCTAATTTTAATTTGATAAGTTGATGTATAATTCACAGAAAAAAATAGAAAGGAAATTTAAATATGTGAAGTTCTCATCTTGAAATCTAGTGTTTGCTATTTCTAAAAAGTTCAATAACTTTTTAAAAAAACTTTTATCAGATTTTTTTTTTTATTTAGGAAGGTTTTCTAACATTCTTATTCCTGTTCTTTACTATTTTATATTGTATTAGATTTGTATTATGTCAATTTGCATCTAATTTTAAATGTATATATTTAAAGGAAATATTTTTCATATAAAATGAACAATCAGGGCTGGGGTTATAGCTCAGTGGTAGAGTGCCTGCCTCTCATGCGTGAGGCACTGAGTTAGATCTTCAGCAACACATAAAATAAATAAATTAAATAAAGATATTGTGTCCATCTACAGCTAAAAAAAATTAAAGAATTATGAACAACCAATTGTTTTTATTTCATTTTATTCATATATTCATTCAACAAACATTGAGTATTATATGGTGAACACTAGATATACAAAGAAGAAAAAGCATGATTTTTCTCTTTAAGGAGATAAAAATAGTATACCTAGACTGTTAAGAGCAAACAAAGAAAAGAATTGGTGGTTGGTCCTAACAGATGTAATAGTGTGGGAAAAGTAAGAGTTCTGGAGATGGAAGGCCTACTCTGGGGTGGAGAGTAGTTGGATATGGCTAAAACAATAGACTGGTATATAGCGAAGGTGTTGCTAAAGACAAGGCTTGCAAGAGATTGGAGCCAGGTTTTGAAGGTCTTTAAATGCTGATAAAAACTACCTCCTATGAACCAGAGGGTTCTTCAACATTTTCAGGACTCGGAGTAAAAGATAGGAACTGAGAATTTTAGGTGAAATTAGCTAATTTTATAATAATTGCAGTTTGAATACATTTTTGGTCATGACATTTAAAATTTTTCATTGGGTAGTTTTCAAAAATTATTGATACATACTGATTATTTAAAAAACTTATGTTAAATATGTGTATTGTAATATATTTCACTAGTGGCATATTTAAATATTTTCCATATTTAAAAATAGTATTTGCCTTAGATTTGTGTTTTTTATTTCTTTTGTTCTAGCTATACGGAAGACAGGATGGATGAAGATCTAATGGAACCTTTGAAATATGCTGAACAACTTCCTGTAGCTGAAATAATACACCAGGTTTGCTTTTCATTATATTCTTTTGAAAGAAACAAGATTTTTAATCTCTGAAAAATAATTGCTTTTGTTAGTTTTTCCCCAGAATCATTGTGCTATAGCTGAAAGGCATTCCAGGCCATCTATCCCTACTTTGGCTGCACTTATTACAGTTAAGTCTCATTCAAAGCACAATATTAAAAGGCTACTTACTGTGCAACACTAGAATTCTTACTTATGTGAAATACAGGGTAATTGGAATTATCTTTTGTATATTGCTTAATAACAAAACTTAATTTTAGAAAACTTTAATTTTGAACCATTATGTATAGTACTTGTTAGTGAGAAGGAGAAAGACCTGAAAAAATATCATTTTTTGGAGTAGCTAAAAAGAGAAAACAATCTTGCCCTACTTCTTCCACCCTTCTCCATTATCAACCCTTGTAAAGTATAATTCTAAATGTCATGTGGGCAATTTGTTCATTTCCAATTATAATGACTCTCTCATCCCTTCTACATAATGATAATTTTAGAAAAGGCAGTGTTGTAAGTATTTAAGCTTAGACTTTGTACTATAATTTTGGCAGCATATAACCTCTGTCCTGCTGGGCCAGAATCTAATACTTCTAAGTGGTCTGTTGACTAGCATTATAGCCTTTACACCTAGAAGATTTTTTAGACCCTTACAGATGATAGGAAATATTAAAAGCCCTATTACATGTTAGAATTTCTTAGAATTTTATGAGTATTAGTTATTATTGTGAGTCTTTTTATATGTCTTTTTCATTCAAAAGAAATTTTATTTAGCTGATATGGGTTGATTAGAAATGGCAGTTTGAGTTTATTAAAAGAAACAGGGACTTTTACTTTCAAATGTTGGCTATATAGATCTTTTCACCCATATAAAAATTTAGTATTAAAATTCTGTGAGAAATTATTTTTAAAAAATGGTCAGATGTTTGCCCCTTTGGGGAGCTCATCTGTGCTTGGTAATCAGGTCCAGTTTATATGTCAGGAATTCCCCAGTGTTGTCAGAGCTTAAATGACCTAACAGTCTGCAAATGTCACATTTAAAATTCTGTCTTCATGCCTGACTCTCAGCATAAATGAATTAAACAGCAGAGCAGGCAGCAAGTCAATATGTTCTTAACAGTAAGAGTGAGCAGTGAAACAGTTTGTGGTTTGTTCAGAATAGGTAAATAGAATCTGCCTAGAACAGTTCACCTAGAATAAAATCTGAAGAGGAAATAAGAATTAACCTTTAAGATGGTTGACCAGTTGAAATGTCAGTAATATTTTTATAGCATGAATGAACCAATAAACTAACCTGGTTTATATAACATCTGTGTTTTATAGTCATACACTGTGTGAATTCAAAGATGAAGTATATTGAGCCTGGTGAAAATTTTAGGTTTTTTTTTTTTTCAGTATAAAAGGCTGTTAATTTTAAGACTGAAGTATAAACATTATAATTAAAATTATGTAGTACTGAATTTTATAAAATTTCAATCTTTAAGAAATATTGCATGGGTAGGAATTTTTAAATTCAATTTTTATTTTTATTGAACAAAATTTTTTTCTCAAGGAGTAGTCAGAAAAGGTCATTGTTAATATCAGATTCTCCATTTATTCCTGTTGTTATTTCCCTTTTTTGACTGTACTATAACTTAGGGACTGTTGCCAATGAGTTGTTTAAGTGGTCTTTAAGAAATACATGAGTTATGGACTAGAACATGGCTTAGTGGTAGAGTGATTGCCTAGCATGCAGGAGACACTGGGTTTGATCCCCAGTACTACAAGCAAACAAAAGAAATATATGAGTTATGTTGCCAAAAGTTGATGTATTTAGATTATATTAATCTATAATGTATCTAAATATTAAATAATTACAATTAAATTTAGCATTATTGTTGTATATAACTAGCCTCCACCTGATTCTGTTTGTATGAAAAATAATCTTGCATCATATTTACCTGTTTTAGAGCATAGATTATTTCTGTTTGATATAAAGTTGTTTGCATGCTGTACACATCCTGTTTGATTATCTTTCTGGACATTCTTTTTTAAAAATATTTTAGTGTTATATGGACACAATATCTTTATTTATTTTTATGTGGTGCTGAGGATAGAACCTGGTGCCTTACAGATGCTAGGCATACGCTCTTCCACTGAGCCAAAACCCCAGCCCTTTCTGGACATTCTTGACTGATTGATATTCCTTTCAGCATCTTGTATTGTGCCATATATACATGAATTTGAATGGTTGGATATGTACTTTGAAAACCAAGGCAGGCTCTCTTTGTCTCTTCTCTACTACCCAGGCATTAGAAGCCCAGGACTCTCACTGATAGCACCATTTAGAAGCTGCAGAAGAAATGGAGGATTCCAAGAGAGGGGACAGGGAGGGACAGTGTCTATATTAGGAGGAGCAACTTGAGAAATAGAAGAGAGGAATGAGTTTTAGTCTTTGACTAATTCATTTCTTGTATATGATACTTAAACTGTTCCACAATCAGGAGCAAGTTTGGATTCTCGTTATTTACCAGTTGGTATTGCCAAATTATTTACCATTTTTTTAGTGGTCCTAGCAAATATGATTGATTGTACATCTGAGTAACCCAAAAGATTCAAGTTACAAACAATAAAACTAATAAGAGAAACTGGTGAGATAGCAGGATAGAAGTTAAATAATTGACAGCTTCTTTGTATTTACAGTAAACACACAGAAATGGAAATGGGAAAAATGTTCAGCTACAGCAATGCAAGGAATATTAAATAATTACAATTAAATTTAACAATTAAACCATATGACCTATAGTAGGAACCATGGAAATGGATTGGGTTCTTGACAACTACCCAGTGGTGGTGAGGGAAAAACAATATCATAAAAGCATTTGTTCCCTCAAATTAGCAATTTTAATTATAATGGAAACAAGTTTTCTTTTAATATTAAGAAAAAACAACCACATGATTTATGTGTAAGAATAAATGTCCAAGAATAATCAAATAAAGTATATAAAAGGGAGAAGGGACTTGCTTAACTAAACATCAAAATATTTTCTGAAAACAAATATAATTAGGTAAATGTGGTATAGATAAGGAATAGACAAATGGATCAATGGAACATAATGGAGGAGTAGATTTGAAGCATTCTTGGTTCTGATTCACAGTAAGAAATATATTTTACACGCATCTTGGCCCTTGATGTGGATGTGTACATGTGTTAAAACAAAAGTTTCATGACCCATTTACCCTCATTATGTATAGTATACTCTGGTATTTTCTTTTCCTGTTCCATTTTATATTTTTTAAAATGCCAAGTAAAGCCCACAAAATTGATGTTGTAAGTAACAAATGGTCTCAAAAGACATATGACTCAAAAGACACTATAGAATCCAGAACAAAATTTATTATATTTGAAAATTTAATATATGATAAAAATAGTATTTTATCTCAGCAGGAAAATAGCTAAAATTCTATTTCATACCATAATGTATACAAGATAAATTTTATTTATTAAAGACTTATTCTAAAATAAAAAAATAAAAATCTTAGAAGAACATTTAGACCACTGCTTGAATAATGTGGAAGTAGGAAAGGATTTCTTCAAAAAAATTTTTTATAGTTGTAAATGGATTGGCATTTATCTCTTCTGATAACCACTGAGAAAGCATGAACAACACATTAATATTCAACATATCATTTTTCTGTACATGGTTGCATAACTCTGGTAAAGTTAAAGCAAGAAACCAGAGTAACAGGAGAGAACAACTCTTTGCTATCATTCTTTCTCGGACTTTTCTGTCTTCTGATTTTCTCACTTTTCTTTTTTCTCCTTTGACCCATATTTCCTTCTATTTCAATATTGTAAGTCGATGTGATATGAATCCTTCCCAAGTGTTTGGTGAATTTTATTTTTTTGTTGTTGAAAAATTAATTAGATGGAGTGTCTTATCTGTAGTACACTTTTAATAAGTATGGTGATCACTGATGTTGAATGTAGGTTTCTTTCAGACTGACAGAGAAGAGAGTTAAGGGATCTCTAACAGTCACCAAAGTGCTTGTCAACAAACCTGCTATATAAATAAACTTAGATTCCTTTCATACCCAACAATGGTAGTATTTATTAAACATTTCTGAGAAGGTATGCAAATTGTAGCATTCATTATATTAACAATTTAGGCAGTCTAGTGGTTCTGCAGCAAAATACAAAGGTGCAAATCATAGGAAGTGTAAATTGCTATTATTGATGTAAGGGGCCTTACCACATATGAAAGTACAACTAATCCTTTTAAGAGTTTATTAAGCTTATTAGAACTGAGAATGTTACGAACAAACAGCATTCAAAGAAAGTGGTTTGGTAAACCTCGCATGCTTATGTTGGTAATTTCTCTTTAAAGGTGATTATTTTTTCCTTGAAATTTGTTCACTAGGAAGGAACATGTAGTACTATGTTGAAACAGATACAGAGAGAAGCAGATGATTTTTCCATATAAGTAAACTTTATATATACTTTGCGAATATTAATTTGAAAATTAAACCACTTTTAAAATAGCTTATATTTTGAATTCAGATTTAAAACTGTTGAATATAATATGGATTTTTTATGAAAAGTTGATATTTTGGTTTCTTGACCATCTTGCTGATGGGTCAAATGTTTTTGTGCAATTAATAGATTTATTTCAATTAATTTGTAAGCATAAAAAAAAATTGATTAGGGGCTGAGGTCGTGGATTAATGGCAGAGTGCTTGCCAGGCACATGTGAGGCACTGGGTTCAATCCTCCGCACCACATAAAAGTAAATAAATAAAATAAAGGTAGTGTGTCCATCTACAACTTAAAAAAAAAAAAAATTAGTACCAGGAAGAGTTTATTGAATTACAAACTAGTGATTTAAAAATAATCAAGACACAAAAAAGTCTTTTGAAAAGAGAAATCTGTATGTAGTTAGTATACATTATATGCATATGTCTGTGGTTATAGTGAGATTATAATAAATTGCAAAGTCAATCTTAAAGCAGGA